AAAATTTTAGTTAGGCATTTAACATTTTTAAAGCTCAGTCTGAGTTTGTTAGATATGGTGACAATGGGTCAAAATCATATATATTTATATAATTTTATTATTATTATATGTTAATATTAAAATCATTTTCATGAACCCAAAATTTTACTAAATCATTTAACATTTTAAGCGATTTTAAGTGTTAAATATTTAGTTTAAGTATGTTAGATATGGAACAAAGAGACAAAAACATATGCTTGATATCGATTTGGCCTATCTTGGGATCGAACCCGGGACTAGTTTATGCTCGATCCGTTTTTTACCGACTGGCTCTTACTTGAGATTTATTTTGTTATATGTACTTTTAATTATAATCTATCGTACTTTTTGTATGAATAACAATTAAGTAGTTGTCCAATCCAGTTTTGACTAATTAACTATATTCGAAGTATTTGTTGACATTTTATGATTATATGTGTAGCTATACCCACATAAGTCGATTTTCACTTGAGATTGATATTTGAAATTTGAAACCTAAAATGGAAATTTGACATGAAAGCTGCCTGATGTTGGACTTGGCCTTGGATCGAATCGAACCAGAAACGCAGAACTAGTTTTTAGCTTGGCCCACGCCTGATTCAATTTACCCATTGCTGGGTCCGAATTTTAGAACTATATAAAAGTTTAAACTTGAGAAATAAAAAAACGAAATGAGAAATTTATATTAATAAATAGTGCACGCACTATCCCTTGAAACTGTTCATTTGACCCTAATTTCCTTTACGGTTTTCGGTTACCACAATGTTTCGGCCACATCGAAGCTGATGTGGTATTACTTCTTAATACCGTTACCAGTGAATGCACCGTGTGTTGAATGCGTTAAGAACCAGCAAGTACTTCCAGCCAGCTAGATATACTGGTGTAAAAATATGAACACACAACACATTGTACATACGGTAAATAATATTTTCAAATTATCCGTGAAGATATTCTATAGATACTGTAAAAATAATTTTATAACAAATAGTAAAAAATATCATGCAATTGTACATTTTTGAAAATATATTGAAACTGTAGAGAAAGGACAGTCTGATGGAACTAAAATTCGTTAAAATAAGAATTGAAATGGTTTTTATGCATCACTTATAAATAAATGCTTAGAATATTTTATAATACATTTATTACTTCTTTGAAGCATATTTTTGCTCTCGGTCCAAAATTTTATCCAAAAATATTACGGAGGCATTTTTATTTTTTTTATGAAATCAATTTTGCGCAAGTATTCATATCAATATATTTATATCAAATTGTCTCTTATTTTATTAATGAAAGGACAGTCTGATAGAGCCAAAATTTGTTAAAATAAGAATTGAAATCCCTTTTAAAATGCTTTTCCAATACAATTATGAATTCAAATTTGAAGCATATTTTTGCTCTTGGTACAAAATTTTCTATTTTTCCTGTTAAATCACATTTTAATTTCATCTCAAATAATTTGTAGATGAAAATAAGCAAATTCAAAGAAACTAAATTTAGACTTACAACGATATTTTATTTTTTATTTAAAAAATTAAATAATACTTCATTTTCTTTACATTTTTAAAAAATATTTGCATATTTTATCGATGTACAAGAGCTACCAACAAAATTTTTCGTCTTGATTTTTGAATATCCTAGTTTCCCTTGTAAATTATTAATTATTTTATAATACTGAATGATACAATATTAGGTTGTTTGTTAAAGAGCAATTCGCAAAGATATAATAAAAATTATGGATTCAACCATTGTTTAACTTCCCAAAGAAGACGTTTGCTTTAGAAAAATTTTGGAATTTCGCAAAAATATATTTTTACTTATTCATTTTGTAAATGTGATCTAGCAAAATATAGAAGTGTTTAGGAATATAAATATATAATTATGTACTGGAAGTTTATGTAGATATGTTGATTACGACAAACACTTATTATCTCTAATGCAACAACAAGTATTTAAAAACGGTTATATAGATATTTTTACGCATTTATCGATAAGAGTTTTGAAAAAAAAACATTTGTTTGAAATTTTTACCATTTAAATAATAAATTCATTAATCCATTAATTTAATATCTGTTTTCAAAAATTCGTAAAAATCACATTAGTAAAAATTGTTCAAAAATTAAATAAAAAACAATTAGATTCAAAGAACCATAGATAAACAAGCAAACAACTATCTATAGGTCTTTTTATAGTACATATAATACTTTAATATTTTTTAATTCACTGATTTAAATCAATTAATGTGGTTTAGGTAAAAAATCTAAATACAAGAGTTTAATATTATAATAACATCATTAGATGTAAAAAGCATATATTTGTAATTTAACCAATTACATCATAAAATGATTGTATAAAAACAGATAAAGAAATTATAATTTTCCGCAAGAAACCACAAATCAATATTCAATTTATATTTTAAAATAGTAAAACTAATATGTATTAGTTTTGCTTGGAAACTATTTCTGGTTTAACCTACGAATCCTTTTTATTGCACATATAATTTAATATATTACATATAAAATATTCGATAAAAATTGGTTCAAAAAACGACTTTTGAACGACTATTTATTTAAAAATAGATGCACGTGCATGTAATTGCACTTTTTTGCAATTGCACACAAATGCATGATGGGACTCACAGAGTACTCAGAAATACATGGAATATATTAAATTGTTCTTATTAAAGAATGATTAATATTATTTGAAGAAAATGATTGTTACACAAAAATAAACTAGTATAAAAATTATAAAATTTAAATAAAATAATAAATGAGAAAATAATTATAAATTCGGTTTAGTTTAATAAAAGTCTATTAGTTTCGATTTAACATGCTAAAAAATATATGTAATATATATCTAGCTGCAAATTTAATAAATTTATGAAATATAAGTATCATAAACAGCTACAAAAATTCATAAAAAATCGTTTTTAACCAAATTTGGTCCAAAAATGCTATTGTTGATATATTATTATTATTGCAACAAATATTTTATATTGAAATAATATATAAAAAATAAATACCAATAATAACAGAGATACATTTTCACATGTATTAAAAATATTTATGCATTCAATTATCATTGTGCGTATACTCATTTGTGATAGATTAAAAAATGTTTTACAGTTATTCAAACATATCTCCACGTACGCGCTTTTGAAATGGTTATGTACTCCTGATATTCGAATAAGGTTTTGTCAAATAAACCCAATTCTAACCTTACAGTGCTTCTCACATGCTGCCGCAATATAAATTAAATTATATTTTTTAAACTTATCAAATATATATATTTTAATTCTTACCTTTGTTTTATAACACTTTATTCATAACAGTCAACACAAACTATTAACAACTTTCTTATTTTTAATTTTTACTTCATTTGACAACTCAGAGATGGAAGTATTTCTATGAAAACCAACTTCACGTTAGTAGTGGGATTTAAACACATGTACCAACGTGCAAGATTCTTTCTTGATCATGGATGCTGTAGTTGCAGGTGGATAACTCGCAGAGTTAAGACAGCAGGTGTATTATGAATTTATATGAAATTTAAAGCGGAGATTTGTGTATTTCATACATATGTGTTAGTGGTATAAATATAAATATACTCATATAAATATAATGCATAAGGTGTTTTTCAGACATATGATAGTATTTTTGAGCATCTATCCAATAAGTAAAAGAATTTAATAAAGAAAAATGTCTTTATTGTAATAGCAAGAGTTTGGAGTGTTGATTTGACTCATTTTCAATGCATACAAATAATCGAAATAAAAATGCAAACACTAATTAATAAATTACATAATATACTAATAAAATGTTTTTGAATCATTCAAATCGGACGCTCTCTTCTCTCAAACAGTAAACGAACATTTTTAGCATATTCAAAATTTATCATTATGTCTATTGATAAGAAGATGTGCTGATTAGTTTCTGGCAAAGGCAGTTCCAGCCCTAGACAATATAATAATGGGTCCAGCCTTTTCGGAGATACGGAGCAAAAAGTGCGAAAAATAGAAACCAAGTTTTTGAGAGAATTGAGTATCCGATTTGAGTGATTCAAAAAACATTCAGTTCATAATGACAAGGAGCAGTTGTGATTAGTTTTTGGCAAAGGCGGGTCTAGCCGTTTTGGAAATACCAAGCTGAATGTGCAAAAAATGGCAGTTTTTGAGAGAACTGAGCATCCGATTTGAACGATTCAAAAAACTTTATGCTTGTGTTAACAAAACTATTGCTTTTGAAACAAATTTTTTTTTTTACTAATTTTTGAATAATTTTTTTTTTGAATAATTTGAATTTGAATTTTATTTTTTTTTATTTTATTTTTATTTACATATATACATTATTTTCATATCCAGCTAAAGTTTTAAAACTCACTTATATATTTCAGATAAATAATTTTTACTCTGCAATTCAGTTTATATAATTCTTACGAATAGTAGACTATGTCCTTTATTTTATTAAATTCTTTGGTTTACTTAAATTTACTTTTTTGTAAACATATACATATAAGGTACAGTATTTATAATAATCTATTTGAAAACATTTAATATATCTCGAATATTATATTACAATACGGGAAGTTCCAGCAATTTGCTTTAAAGCACGGTGCCACCACTTATTTATATATTCATATTTACCACAATTTATATATAATAATTTTTCTTACTTTTACTCTACGGTTTTATAACATTTGTTAATATTTTAAAGACTAAAAGGTACTTATAGTTTATATAGTGATTTGAAAAAAATCATGATTGTAAAAAAATGAATTGTCATCAAATGACATTTAAGTGGCTTTTCGAAACAAATAAAAATCTAAGCAATATTCGATCGTGAAATTAAAGCAAAAATGTTGGTGTGCTAATTCTATCCTTCACTATTGGAAACGCTATCCGTTATATTTTGGGTATCAAACAATCCAGTGAATTTCGATTTCTGCCCTTGTGTTGGTTAGCATGCGTCTCTCGGCTAGCAAGTGGCTCTGAACAAAAGAACGGCTGAGTCTGAAAGCAGCAAGCAATTGAAGCAACCCGTTGTGACGTCAGAGGTCAGATTTAGGAAGGGAAATGTCGGTGCAGAAGTGATCGTTTGGGAAGTTAAATATTGTGCTCGTTTTAGTGATTGAGCTAACAAAATTGTAGACTGGGACTTATGAGCCGAGTGATAATGGCGGCTATACTCAAGGATTTCATTGTCGGCCTTAAATACCGTCTCATTCGCAAAATCGGTAGTGGCTCCTTCGGTGACATATATCTTGGCATCAATATTACAAATGGAGAGGTACGTACATATGTAACTCGATTTTGGCCTATCATACCAAACAACAGACTTGTGTACACTATCCATATACAAAAGACATCGTTTCACATATTTTACCATTTAATCTATCAAAAAAATGACCTTGTTTAAAAATAATTATATTTTGTCCATCATGAAAATTTACAATAAAGGTTAAGTAAAAGTATTAAATGTCACTTTTTATGTAATCATAATTATTCCTAAACATTTTCTTTAGAAAGTTTAATATATTTTAATAAATATGGTTTCGCTTCTTGTTTGACATTTAAAAGTTTGAATATATTCCATATTTAGAAATGTCTAAAACAATCGTGGGTCGTGCAAGAATTTTATCAATAATTCCATCTGGCTCCGTTGTTATAGTTATATCATTTTGATATAGAAAATATTACGGAGGCATATTTAATTTTTTTATGAAATAAATTTTGCGCAAATGTACATATCATTATTTTTATATCGAATTTTCCTTTTTTTTAAGAACTAATTATTTTAATAATGCTATGATTATTTAAAAAATATAGTTATTTTATATTTCTAGCATGATTTTTTAGAAGTTTATTCAACAATAATACATTCTAATTATCATAATTTTAAAACATAAAGTAATAAATTCTAAAAACTATTTTCTTTTCAAAATACAACTTGGAACTCATTTTAACAATTTTTTGATAAATGTGCAGTGTTCTCATAATTCACAGCAATTATATATTGTTAAGACTTAAATATATTTAAAACTTTGTAGTCTTGCCAAATGTCTGATTTTTTAAAGTATTGTTACTTTGACCATTTTAAAGTACTTGATTTGACCATTTTTAAGAGTTTTGAATTAAATTTTTCTATTAAATAGTCAATGTGTTGAAATATAAAATGTTCGAGTAGTCTAGAGACAAAATTATAGATTCATGATGCAAACTTCATTAATTTAGCAATGATATTTTAAATGAATTTATATTATTTGATTAACTTGATGGTAATAAAATTTCATTCATGTCATGCTAATGAAGTTTCAATTATGCATCTCATTACTGTGAATATTGAATGTTCAAAATACTATTTCAATTGTATTCTTTATCAACATATTTGTTTAAAGACATTGGCTTTGGCTCACACGTAAACAACTTGGAATTATTATTGCTTCAACATTGGGTCTTGACATTTTTGTTTAATAATTTGATTTTGTATATATTATTGCAGGAAGTTGCTGTTAAATTGGAAGAATGTCGTGCTAGACATCCTCAATTGTTATATGAAAGTAAACTTTATAAAGTCCTCCAAGGGGGTGTTGGTATACCACATGTCAGGTACCATGTTACGCTTACATTTTTAAATACAGTTTGAAATATTTTTTTACAAGCCTTTTTATTTTATTTTTAAAATAGTTGCATGTTTTTTTTCAGAAGTTTGATTAGAATAGCATTGTCCAAATGATTTGAAAAAATATTTTATTTGTAGTATTTAATTACATGATAAAATCACTTAGATTTTGAAAAAAATGTGAATTGAAATTTATTACACTATACCTGAATTGAATCCAAGAGCATGTTGAAGACAATTTTAATCCATGAATTAGGATCTTGTGTTATTAATTATCCTTGTAATATTAACTTTGTTTTCAACTCTGACAAATCTATGTAAAATGTATTAATCATTAACAATCCAGTGCGAAAAGCTTAATTACATTCTGTATATTGAACGTACCCAGTAATCATAGCATATATATATATGTATATATATTTATATATGTATATAATAAAACTGTCAATTCACTAAAATTAAATTTGTACTCAAATTTCCTAATACACATAAACACAAAGAAGATTCAAACTTAACTGTAGATATATATGACAGTTTTTCCAGAACTATACTTGAACATCATGCTATAAACATAGTTCATTAACAAGTTAATTGCTCAAAACGCTATTTTAATTAATACTACATTTCCATAGAATAAAATTTAACTCATTTGCTTTTTTATTATATAGATGGTTTGGTACAGAGAGACAATACAATGTTTTGGTAATGGAATTGTTGGGACCTTCCCTAGAAGATCTATTTAATTTTTGTGGCCGTAAATTTACTATTAAAACTGTTCTCATGTTAGCAGGTAATTATCATAATATAATTGATTCTAATAAGATCCTTAAGTGTCTTAAAGATATGTATTAACTTCCCATAGGGCAAGTTATAGTAATCACAAAAAATTGAAAATGAAAATTTTTATATATCTGAACATTTTGGCATACCTTGGAAAAAAATCGATGTATGTGTGTGTGTGAGTGTGTGCGGATACAAATTTTCGTCGATGATTTCGGGAACACGGTTCAACCAATTTTAATTATTCAAAAAACATTTTACTTGTATTGACAAGATGAAGAACTGATTAAATTTTTGGGAAGGCGGGTCTAGCTGTTTCAGAGATATAGTAAAAAAAAACATTAAAACATCAGATATTTTATGGAGATTTTATAATGTGTATCAATTTTGTTTATATTTCTATGGGTTTTGTAACATCATTCGCCAGTTAGACGGCGACACGGCGCTTACGCGCTTCAATATTGCGTCTCTATGCAGTCTAAAACCGTGCGATTGCTTTGAAGAAAAGCACAAAATTTCTAACATATTTCCAAGTTAAAAAAACTTAAAATTTCCAAAAGTTTTTTTTCCAAAAATGTCAATTTTTTATCAAAAATTAAAAATTTCTCAAAAATCTGATTTATTCAAAGTTTAAAACAATTTTAATCTTTTTTAAAAAATTTAATTTTTGGTACGGGAAGTTCCAGCTTTAAGGCACAATGCCATACACCACTAGTTTATTTTTTATTTAAAACAAAAAATCAATTATACTTTATTTGTAGATCAAATGGTGGCTCGTATAGAATTCCTTCATGCCAAGAGCTTCATTCATCGTGATATCAAACCTGATAATTTTCTAATGGGAATTGGACGCCATTGTAATAAATTATATCTGATAGATTTCGGATTGGCTAAAAAGTATCGGGATCTCAGATCTAGGTTGCACATCGGATATCGGGAAGACAAGAATCTCACAGGTAATAATATAGCCATAACTTAATAGTTTATTAAAGCTATTTTTGAGATAATATTTACATATGGTTTATTATTTACAGGCACTGCCCGTTATGCATCAATTAATGCACATCTTGGTATTGAACAATCAAGACGCGATGATATGGAATCTTTAGGGTATGTACTAATGTATTTTAACAGAGGCTCATTACCGTGGCAGGGGCTCAAAGCTGCCACTAAGAAGCAAAAATATGAAAAAATTTCAGAAAAGAAAATGTCCACACCTGTTGAAGTATTGTGTAAGGTATGTATTATTTTAGATCTTTATTTATATTTTAATATTAAAATATAATATTTAGTTTTTTAATTGAAATATTAATTCTAGAATTTCTTCTTTTATTTTGCACCTTTTGCAACTTGTAGACTTGATTGTAATAATTATCAGTTAATAGATAAATATTTGTTGTTTTTTGTGTGAAAAATATTTTAATGTACAAAATGAATATAATCTTTGTAATTAAACGAAGTTATAATGGTATCTAGGCACACTGGATAAGATCTTTATGGAAAGGTGTTTTAGTTTATTTTACAAGTGTAATTTCAAGTTGAAACTGATTTAATTTAGGATTACACATCTATTCATAGTAGATGAATGTATTTTTATATTTACAATATTCTAATAATTATCAATTCTAGGGTTTTCCAGCTGAATTTGCAATGTATTTAAATTATTGCCGAGGCCTGAGATTTGATGAGGGTCCTGATTATATGTATTTAAGACAGGTACGTATGTGCTGTAGTTCTATTTATATGAAATCATAATCTCCTTATAACATTGATTTTAAATATAATTTGATTTATATATCTTATTCTGTAATGTTATGAACATCAATATTTTAAAATTGGAACCTCTGAACTTGCATATTCTATTTATTTTAATATGTAATAGATCATTACATATTTTGAAATTTGCATTGCTTTATAACATTCAATATTAATATATAATATGTAAATATAGATAAATAATATTTGTAATTTTAATAGAGAGAAAACTACTACGTATATTAAAATAATGCATGCAAGTTTTATAATTTTGCAAAGTATGTACAGTTACAACAACCTGTACAAATATATTCATAAGTTTAAATTACAGGAATCATTATTTTTCTAATTACTCAATTCCATAACTTGATCTATTCTTATTTTTATTTTCAATGCTCAGTAGATTTTTTATGTTAAATGATAAATAACTCTTTGCATATCAATATTTCAGTTGTTCCGTATTCTGTTCCGCACTTTGAATCATGAATATGATTACTTATTCGACTGGACAATTCTCAAGCAAAAACCTGGAGCGCCAAACTTGGGGGCTGCTGGTACTTCTCAAGTGCAACCCAATACATCAGGTATTTAATGTATATAATTATTTCATTGTAGATTATTCTATTTTTTGTATATGTTGATAATGTTTAAGCTAGAATGGTCACATTTTCAAAATTCAATAGTTTTATAATATAAATAACACAATATTTGTTATTGCCAATAATTTTATACTCTGAAAAATAACAATATTTTTCAATCATCTTTCTGATACGTGAATGTTTTTAAAAGTGATCATTCCAGTATGTATTTTGCTTTACTTTACTAGCTTTATGTAAAAATTAATGTTGAGTAGCTTTAAAGTGATAGTTTATTTGTTATGGTTGTTTGATATTTATTTAATCTAAATTTTTATTAATGTAGTGTCAGTATTTGAGTAATTGGGTTCATGGTTTTAATTTTTGTATCATACTTTTTTTTAGCTCCGTACCGGGAAGCTAACTAAATATCTTGCTCGGAAAATAGTTATGATCACAGTGGGCTCAGTAAGAGATACAGTATTATGATATATTGTGTGAAAAAGAATTAATGAATAATTCTAATTGTATATATTCTGTCTAAGGCTTTATTAGATTAAAATTAATAATTGTGCTAAAGGCTTTTAGCATAAAGTAAAATTATTCATGACACTTAGTTATCACATTTACTTATTGCTATATTTGTAGTTGATTGCTAAGTTTTTTTTTGTATATATATAAATTTTAGTTAAACTTCTCTTTAACCTGTTTTTAGACAACATATATTGTAATGATTATTACACTGAAATTTAAACATGCTAAATGTTATTTTTTAAATTTTTGATTTGGTTCTAATTTGACAATATGATTTTATACATTTATTACCAATTTTCTTAATATTAGTGAATTAAATGTTAAATAAATACTAAAGTTAATCTATATTATTGACTAAACGATTTAAATAACAAATGCTGTTATGTATCATTTATGTAGCTTGCAAAGATCAAAATAGTATCAACTCACTTTTATTTCAATAATTAAAAAAAGTTTTGGAGTTATTTTTTTTACATTTTTGAATTTATTTTGGTTTAATACATTTTTAAAACCAGGAAGTAAGATGTTTTTTGAATGTGGTTTTTAAAGAATATGACCTGAAAATTACCCTCATTTTAAAAATGATACTGGGCGCCCAAAACTTCGAAAACCGAACACAATCTTTGAACAATTTTTTATCTGAAATTCTTGCTATATACTGTACATGCAAATATATACTGCAACAATGCACTTTGTATTTATTTTTACAAGTTGGTTTATCAATCGTAAAAACGCTTTTCTTTAAAACCAAATACAGGTAACCCTCGTATAACACGGTTGTTACGTTCCAAAAAAAACTAGCGTGTTATGCGGGACAAAAAATTAGTACAAAAAAGGCGTTACGTTCTAAGAATTCAAAGAAAATCTACAACTACATATGATTTTATAATATTGTTATATATTTTTTTTTTAAAGTACATCACATGAACTCTAATTTTTTTTGTCATAACTACCCAGTAAATGCTACACAACGCGATCTTTTTTTGCAAAATTATTTTATCCTCTAAGCAGTTTTCTGTACTACTTCCAGATCCGTGCATCACTTTCTGCAAAAAAAAAAAGAAAATATTATTTGTGATCACTTGCTTTTACCAAATTGATATTTATATATTTAACACATGCAAAGTTAGTACTTACAATGAACTTTTATGCTTATTTTATTCAAAGAATTGGTAATTAAGAAATATTAATTATACCCTCAAATTTTTTTCTATAGAACGTACACACACTCTAATAATAAATATCAAATAACTTATCTTTTGTACTGGTTTCATTAATTTATTGAGCTATTACACGGCGCTTTTACTAATTTTAGATTAGATAAAGTTTGATTTTCATAGATTTTACAAAATTTCTTATTTAATTAGGTTTTTGTTCAATTCTCAAACCGTGTTATACCAAACCTATGCTTTAAAAGTAGTGTTATGAGGGGGATAGTCTCAATTCTTAAACCGTGTTATGCGAGGAGGGTTACCTGTATGCTTAATGCGATTTGAAATAAGCTTTAATTTATGTTGCTTAGCTTCTAGTTTAGTTAGTTTGCTTGAAATCTTTACAAGTAGCTTTTGTGTTTGTATAAATGAGGACAATTCAAAAGTGCATGTGTATTTAGAATACAAACATATACTACAATCATAAATGTAGTTTTTAATTTGTTACACTACACTTATAACATATAATTTAAATAATACTTAATATTTTAAGTATATTTATTTTTCTGATAAATGCAGCTTTTGATTTTAAAGATTTATTTTTTAATTTACTATTATACTATTACTATTTTGAGTTTATACTATTTTGATCGACTTGCGTATGCGTCCTTAAGTCCTTTCTACCGATTACCTATACTTTCCCTTCCCTTCCAGTTAATTAATTTTCCTTTAAACAGGTGAAATTGATAAATCGAAATCGCTCACAGTCACAGGCCGAATGGGAAAATCCAACAAGGTGACGGGCCATCAAAGTGTTGGTTATTTGAAAAGTACGCAAAAATGATAATCGAAAATAGAACAAACAAGTTGCATTTGTATTTCCAATTGCAAAGTAAACTTCTTCGGCACTGACGAAATTTTTAGCGCAGTGATACGCTTTTAATTGATTGATTGTATTAATTTTGGCGAATTGTTTGTTTTTGTTTTGTTTTTGGTTCTTCCAACTATCGTGTCCGTCTTCTTCAAATGTTTTGTTTTAATAAAATTTTAAAGAATTTGATGGTTTTATTTATATTTGCTGTAAGTTAAATGCAGTTTGTGTTCGGGATGGGAAAACGTTTTTTTAGATGTAAATCAGAAGTCCTATTTAGCTTTCTGCATTGGACATATCAGGAGCAATATTTTACACAATGGACTTAAGAAATTTATTATTTGAAAAATCTTTTTTTTTCTTTCATTTTTATCAACAACCATTTTGTTTGTGCAATTTATTTCAACTCTTGAGTGTAAAATATTAATTTTTGGCCATAGCTGTACAAAATAGCGAATTTTCACTTTATTTATCATTACATTTTTATTTTATTTGTATTATTAATATTATTTCATTATTTATATTACTTTTCTTTATCTATTTATTTTTTTCTTCCTTTGCTTTGATTTTCGATACCCTCACTTTTAAATTATAGATTATGATGATATAATCTTATTGTGTGTTGAAATTAGAATCATTAAAAAAAATTTGGTTCTAAATTTTATAAAAAACAAGTGTGTACAAATCATGAGAAAAGAAATGAATGACTAAATTCCTCTCACTAGATATTTATGTTGTGCATGCTTTTGTCAGTAATTAATAGTAGATTACTAATGCATTTATTTTATCGTAGTTAATTTGACGTTAGTATTAAACAACACAATTTAGAAATAATCAAACTTTCAGAGACGTTCTCTCCTAATCTGATTTTTATGATCCCTCCCAGGTAACCGCTAACAGAAGTTATCACAGTGACGTTCTACATCGGAGAATGGTTAGAATTCAGAAAATAATCATGCAACACGGTCTCATTATTATAACATTCACATAAAAAATATTTAAAATATGTAAACTAGCTTGCATGTTTATTGTAAGCCAGTCTATAATCTATTATTGTTTGCACTTTACTTAAATTTAAGTACAAAAACGATACTAGATTTTTGAGAGGTGTGACAGATGAAGTACAGTTTTTAATTAATTTAAGGATGGACCCTGAATTTTAATCAATGCATTAGTCTATGATAAACTAATAATAGTATTCGCTAGTGTATTGATTTGAAATTTTATATTATCACATGTATAATTAGGTATGATCATAATAAGATCAGTATTGTTTGATCATTTTTAATATTAAATTTTGATGAATTTATAATACTTTTATTAACCCTATGGTTAATAATCAGGAGTGATACGGTCAACTAGATCTGTTGACTTTTACTACATTTTCCCATCGTTAAGATAATAATGCAGACATTATTGTTGTATTTAAAAATATTAATTATTTTATAAGTAACATAACATATAACTTATTCATTTGCTTTTAGAAGTAAAGATTCTGTCAATTAACACACATTTATTAATTTCCAAATGAAATTTGGGTACTCATTAGTATCAACATTTTAATTCGAAGCTATCACACCATTGATCGTAGTACGTTTTTGTAGCTTTTTGCAATGTTATGAATATTTTTTTAGCAAATCGTGTCCATTTGCGCATTATGATAATATGCGCAAATGGTTTTCGTTGTTGCATTCAAATGTTTTGCATAATAAAATAATCACTTGTGTTTTAGATTATATAAGTTTTAGTTTAATGCAGAAAAAACGAAGGATTTTATTTTTATGTTTTGTTTACAATCCCTCGTTCATCTTTACTATATTTAATTATAGTTTGTACTAAAAGCAGCTTTTGTGAGCTGTTCATATTCTGTTTCTTTTTTATAACATTGGTATGTATCCATTAAATGGAGTGATTGAATTTATGGATGGCAAAATGTATGAGCGAATGTGAAATGAATGCATATTATTGTATAAGTAAATATAAGTTTATAAATTTTTATTTGAAAATGATAAAAATATATAAAAACTTACATATATACATATGACAAAACTTTTATCGTACAATAAGGAAGGATATTGTTATTAAAATTAATAAACAATACCGATGTAGACATTTCAAAATATATATTGTGTTTTAGTAAGGAACAAATATTTTTGAGTTTTTTTTTACTTTTATGTAAGCTATCATGTGATGGCTTATATATTTCATGTAAATCCATTTATTTTTCAAATTATATTTTCAGTTCAAAAGTATAACTACTTGATTACTGTGAAACTTTCATATCCATGTTGGATATAAGACAAAAAATATATTACGTAACAAAAGCCAATTAAGGCAAACTTACATCTGGGCATTTACTTGGAATAAATTTACAAAATTTTAAACAAAACAAGTAAATGAAACGCATTTATCAATCAATAACTGCATAAATTCTTCGTGATGTCTCATGTGTTTTAAATTTTTCATAATTCCTAATTTTAATGTTATTTTTATTTCTCTTATGCAAATAGCATTGCAGTGTTTTTTATCAGATATGATTATTTTTTACAACATTAGGCAATATTTAAAAATAATTTTTTTTTTTAACAGTTTTGATTTTGAATTCATTTATTTAATCTCGTGTACTAAAATTTTTAAATCTACCTGCATGATAGAGAAAGCTTGCAAACTATATATAATTGATGTTATTATTAATATTGGTGTTTATTCTCATTCATCACCTTTCATCTTTGATATAAAAAAATTAAATACTTAACAAATTTATTATTTTAAAAATAAATATTAAACCCAAAATTATTAGCCTAAGAAACCAAAATCATAATCACAGTGCAACAATAAACTTAGTTGTTTATTTCTCATGTTAATTTAAATTCATATTTAATCAATTTTTTATTAAAACTATATCTTGAATGCTAATAAAAAATATGTAACTTAAACATTATAAACACTGCGAATATTATTTTTTTCACAAATTCATTATATTTAATACTTGTCTAGATATATCCATTAATTTAACACCATTGAAAAAATTATATTCCAAATATATTATTGATGTTTATAGCAAATAAATAAATATTAGAAATTATAAATTAAACAGCCTGGATTGATTAAATATTTGGAGAGTGCTTTAAAAATTATACTTATAATTAATTCTTCAAATTGTTAAAAAAAAATTAAAATTATTTTGTTCTGATATTGAAAGATATAATATTATTAGTGTAAATTAAAAGCCAATATAAAATAAATAATAAATATCTTATAATTTTTCTTTTATAAGGTGCCCCTAGTTAGTACATAAACAAATAAAAGTTTTCAAAATAAATGAATATATTATATAAAAAAACAAATTAGAAAAAATTAAAACAAGGGTTTTACTTACCGTTGTGACTAGCAACTTTAACAACAAATTGTTAAATTAAATACAAATAAAATTACCTATTTTAAACATTATTTAAATTATTATTCATGTATATTTTCTACCTAAAGTACTCTCCAATTATCTCCAAAATATTCAATAAATACCCAAAAATTTAATAACCTGAATATATGATTATTATATCAAGATAAAGCTAAATATATAAGTATAAAATTAATGCTAAATGCAGTATAAATTGCATTTGCACTAAAATCTTTACACGAAAAACTGCATTTTGCTTTATTTCTTATCTAATTTAAATAGGTATGATTTCAATAAAATTTAAAATTTTAATTCATAGGATACTAAATAACAATCTCAAATTCTTCATATAAAAATGACTGCATATTTTTAGGATTTATATCTATATGTGTAGAATATATGCTATTATATGAAATATCATAAAAAGCTTATTAATAAACAACAAAAAATTATAAGTTCGAGCAGTTTTAAATTTTAAAATTTACTTTGTTGTTTTTTAATAAAGCTTTTTATGAATCATAGTAGACATTAATATGCCGATATGTATCTCTAAATATTTATAAAAGCGTTTCCATAATTAATTATTAACATTTACTGATATACCCATAAAGAGATAGTTTTTGTTTAATTTTTTTAATAGAATGAATCGCATATCATTCACGGTAAAAGAATGATTAGAAAAATTTATTTTTCAAAAGCAATTTATTATTGGTTTTAATTTTTAAGTAAATGTGTACTTTACAATATTTTTTTCATTTAATAGAGATGACTTCTCGTAAACATAAATTTAAAGCAAAGTCTTACAATTATGTGATAAATTGCACAAAATTATTCATTTTATCTTGAATTACAAGAAATATAGTTATTTTATTTATTATTGTAAAATTAAAAACATTATAGAATTCCATACGTTACAAAGTTTAAATATTTCTCAATATATATTTTTATTTTTCGGCCTATTGTCTCGGAGACTTTTCTTTAAATTTATATTTTCTTGATGCAAATTTTATGGAAAGAACATATTTTGCAAGTTGAGCTGTGAAGCCCTTTTATGATATGTAAAAAAATATGATTTTTAATTTACTACATAACTATTTGTAAATATTCACTTGAACATCGATTCTTTAAATTAAAATTAGGAAATGAGAAGAACATCGATTTTTATTTGAAAAATGTAAAATAATTTCACATTTTCTGTCCTTGCAACTAAAGTTTTTCATAAAATTTAATCATTTAACCCACAAAATGTAGGTATAGTACTATTACAAATGTAGTATTGATTTTATTATTTTTTATTAGATATAATCTATTCGAAATTATTGCAAATGGCTATCAATTCAAAATTGATTAAAACAAATTGAAATGAAAATAAAGTTACAAAAAACCTGATGAAACATTTGAGAATTGACCAATTAATAAAATAAGTGAATAATAATAAAATGCTGTAATGACATATATAGTGTTTAAATCTGTTTGATTAACATACTGATATTTATGTGAATTGTGGACAGTTTTAATATTTAAGTCTTTCTCTGCTCATTGGGCAAATCGGCGATATAATTTTCTTACAAAAATTTTAGGTATTTTATGAAATTTGTATATGCCATTATGAATTTCCTTTACTTTTACTTTTACTCATTTTAACAAATTAACTTTTAATGATCCAATTTGTTTACTTGGATCATTTTAGTAGAAAGTTTGGTAAGTCTTTTTCAATTATTGGTACGCTTTACTGATTTACCTCGATGAGAAAGAAAAAGAACTTTTTTAAAATTCAAGATTTATTTCATTAAAGAAATAATTTGAAATTCTTGTAGATTGTTTAACACAGAATAATGACACTTTTGACAGCTCGCGTTAATCGAAACAAATATTTATTATCACAAGAATTTTTGTGATAAATTAGAAGCAAAACACACGAAGTTATAATGTAATTTTCTATTATGATTTTTTCGCCAAGTGCGAATATAAATAAAAATACAAGTTTCGTTATTTAGTTTCAAAATAATACAAAATATTGCAAATAAATAAAACAAATGAAATGTATAAAGGAAGAATAAATAAATTGTTGTGAAATTATTTGCTTGTGTTTAAATTCATCCACTAAGCACGTGTACAACGATCTAAATTTATCTAATGAAGGTCCAAGTCCTAATCGCTCAAATATTATAAATATTTTTAATGCTATTATAAATATATAATTTATAATTTATTATTATATAAATATGTATAATGGTCGACATTAATAAATGTGTGCATTCAAAATTGAAATGATTGCCATCTCGTACAATAGCAAAAAAGTTTTACTTCAATCGCATGTGAACCTTACGCGCACGCTTTTTATTTCATAACATTCATTTTTGAATTTAAACAGAAACTGCTTACAGTTGTACCAACATGAATTGTTTTTGACATTTAACCTATAATTGTTATCGATCGCTTTGACAGATGATATAAGAGCAAATAAATTGAATGAAACTAAATTATTAAACAACGTTTAAATAGCATAATGTAGAAGATCTCTTTCGTTAATTATTAGTTAATAAGCAATGGAGGGCGAAAGATTTTTAATGGCAGCTGGCGTGACTGCAGCTGTTGTAGTTGGTGCTTATGTCCTTTGGGGACCCTCCGGAGGTACGAGATTACGTAAAAGAAGAGGACAAGTTGGCGGTCTTCATAACTTAGGTCGAACCTGCTTTTTAAATGCAGTCTTACAAGCCTTAGCAGCATGCACACAATTCAAACTATGGTTACAAAAATTCAGTGGAAGAGATTCGAAAAGTCTGATAACAACTTTGAATACCGTCATAGAAGTCGTCAACGGTACTCATGTTACAATAAGATCAGACCCTTATACGCCAGGCGATATCTTGCAGTCATTATTTGCTCTTGGATGGGTAATACCACCAGACGAGCAAGATGCTCATGAGTTGCTGCATGTCATCTTGAGCAGTTTGGAAGAAGAAATTAATAAACCGGTACGTAAAATTGGATGTTTATCTGATGCTTTGGGATTAAGTGATTACA